TAAGTATAATTTCAAAGGACACCTAAAATAACTTGGATGCTTAATTCCTATATTTTTAATAAATTTGCGAATCTACTATAAGTTTACCATTTAATGCATGTTGAGAGCATTGACAAAATTCTTTTTTCTATTTCCAGCTTCCGTGTTACTGTAAATTATTTATTAAATGCTTGGCTTTCCGAGGATAGATAAAAACAGTAAGCAAAAATCATTTCTGCTGATTGGAAGAAAAGGATTGGGTGAATTAAAAAATAATTAATATCTATAACAAGAACATTTTTATTTCTATTTAAAAATGGTTCAACGTTAGAGAACACTTCGATGGATCAATAATGGTTAAAGCTGGCAAAGATTTCCAGCATAGTTTGAAATGATAATAATTGAAAATATATTTTATTTACACAAAAGAACATTTGCAGATTTCTCTTAGTTCATGTGCAGATGGGTGCATGTGTGAGATAATAGTTGATTCACAACACTAGCAATAATGTACAAAATGTACAAAAAACTTCAATTAAATTGTTTGAAGAGATAAGAAAGTGCTTGCTTTTAGAAATTAGTATAACTTTGTCCGATTTGTTTCAAATTTTCCGTATTTTATTTCTCAGAGTGGACAAATAGTTCTATTTTTTACCGTTATCAAAACGGGACCGAAAAATATAACGGGATACCCCGCCGAAATTGAAGCAGGACGCGGAAAAATGACCTGCTCGGCGTTTCTTAATGCATGGCGGCGTTGGGATTGTCGACCACGAAACGTGAAAAGTCCGAATAGAACGCGTCTTATCGAAGGACGTTCTCGTGGCCAAATCCGATTCGCGGGAACCATGTTCGCGAAAAAATTTATAACCTCTGGCTCGGCAATCGTACACGCCGCCCGTAAATAATCGGTAATACCCGCGCAGGATCAAAATATTTTTGACGGAAAATTTATATTTCATAAAACAAAGTGCCTCCGCCGCCTCCGCGCCGCCCGCCTTTTCCGAGAGATAAAATTTCACATCTTACTTTGTTTTCGCCGTGTGTGTGTATCTCTCACAACCCCGCGCAATAACAAATCAAACCGGGGGCCAAAGTAAAACATTGTTTGTTGCCAAGAAAGAAAAATGTAATTTCACGTTTGACGTGGTGAAGAGGGCGGGCAATTTATCATCTTTTCGATTAACTTCATTACGATTTGACTTCGCGCAGAGAAACTTCTCGATTACCGGCCGCCGGCGCGCGTTGCTATTAAAATAATAAAGGTTTGCTTTTTCGTTTTTGTAAATGGATTCATTATTAACGGAGAAAAGTTTCTAAAATAACGCGTTTTCATCCGGGAATATTAAAAATTAAATTCTCAAATGCATAGATCGTTGCTGCAAAATCGATAAATTAGTCGCGTTGAAGTCGTATTAAAGTCTGTTTCATTGCAACCTTTAATTTACTTTAATTTTGTATATACAGGGTGTTTAATTTTTCGTGGGCGAATATCAACTTTCTTATTCTAAATGGAGTACTCCATTTTTGAATTCTATACAAAATTCTAGGCACCCTTCAGTGAACGAAATTGTTTTAAATGGTGGATCGTTTTTCGTTAATTTACTTTGATTTTGTATATACAGGGCGTTTAATTTTTCGTGGGCGAACATCAACTTTCTTATTTTAAAAGGAATACCTAATATATTACTCCGTTTTTGAAGTCTACACAAAGTTCTAAGCATGTTTTGCGCATATACCTAAGTCTAACCGTTTTAGACATTTTTAATTTTTTTGCGAAAAATTTACGTCTTGCAAACGTGAAATATCTGCCAGTTTCTTCATTCGGAAGCCTTTATTGTTTCACTTGAGTAAGTTTTGTTGTAGACAAAGGACTCGGATAACGGATTTAATAAGAAATTTCGATATATATATTATTACAAGTTACACGAAAAATAAGATTAAAAATTAAATCAAACAAACTGCCAAAAAATTATTTTTTTAAATGGAAACTACCTATTTTTATAATCTTGTCATATTTAGCATTACAAAATGAAGGCAATTTTGTACAATGTCGTATATGCCTAATATGTTTACTTTTTCAAATATTTCCTTTTAAACACAAATAATATGATGTTACCATATAGGTTCAGTTAGTGTAAGGTTGATTTACCATTTCATAGTTGACCATCATCTTGCCGATGCGCTTATGATGATCCAAATGTATGTATGCATTATTTATACAGAATAAGACCAAGGATACGCGATAACGTTGGTGAATATTTTATTAACGATCGATCAATAAAAAATTAATAGCTTCAAAAGATTATTGTAACAGTTGTTCAATATATGGATAAACGTTGAATAATATTTAAAAACTCTCCCCTGGCGCACCATACTTTGACAGAAGTTCTACCTGATCTTGTAACTTCCATACGCTTTTTATTATTTTTATTGCTATTTATTGCTTTCGTTATCTGTCCAAATAATACTAGCAAACATGTTTTCTGAAAAGTGTCTATTCATAAATCTAACCTGATGTTGTAATCCCGTTGCTGTAATTCCTGCACTGGAGCCAGCCGATATGTAACTTTATAACATATATTTTCCTCAGTATTAAACATTCGAAAACAATCGAAAAAATTAAATTTATAGACAATAAATAAATATAAATCAATAACATGTCAAAAAATATTTGAATTATGACTGTAATCAACATCAAATCCCGTGGCCAAGGAGGCAGCTTTCTAACACTTGTTTTGGTTATATATATATATATATATATATATATATATATATATATATATATATATATATATATATATATATATATATATATATATATATATATATATATATATATATATATATATATATATATATATATATATATATATATATATATATATATATATATATATATATATATATATATATATATATATATATATATATATATATATATAATATATATATCCTGCAGGATTCCAGTCGGATGCAAGATTTGCAGGATTCCAGTCGGATGCAGGATTCCAGTCGGAGTTCAACGAGCGAACGGATGATATCCCGGAATATAGTGTCATCACATTTTTCCATCCGTGAATCAATACGTGAGATATATATATATATATATATATATATAAAATTTTGTGTTTCATGAAAAACTTTTAAAAATATTTCCAGCAATTTTTTAACCCGAAAAATTGATATATTTTTTAAGTCATTGAAAGTTATTTGAAATTTGATTTCAAAAAATATATCTTAGTTCATAATTCGCCAGAGTTTTCTTGGAAAGAATAGAAGTTTTGAACTATGAACAAGTAAGATTTCACCGGTGCAACCATAATACGAAATGCTTACTATAGTAGTGGTCAAATTGTAATTTTGATCATAACGATAGGTTTAACCTTTCAAATAAATAAACAAATAAACTGACCAAAACTAACCATTGATAAAAATGCATATTTTTGGTACTAGTTCTTGATAGACTTATTGGTGTCTACTTTGTTGTTGACGTAAAACCACTTGTTACTCACAGGGATTTCATATACAGCTTGTTTGGTCACTTCTTCCCAGACTGATTACTATTAATTAAGTCGTGTCGCAATTTTCTGAAAATGTCTCGCCGCTCCTAGTCAAAACTTTCGAGCTAAATATTAATTATGCTATATTTTTAAAAATATTAAAAGTCCAAAACAAACAGTTCATTTGAATAAAATAAAATAAATAAATAAAAAGTTGTTGTGCAAATATTTTTACAGAACCACAAAATTTTCCATAAGAAAAAATTTAAAGATTTTCTTCTATAATAATTTGTATTACATTTAATGTAACACATTTTCCTTGTGAAAATAATACTTTGAATAAAAATTTGAAAACTATGTTAATTGACGTAAAACCAATTTTAATTCCAAACTACTTGCGAGGCTTCATTACTCCACCCAACTATGTCTTAATGTTATTGTCATTTGTACAGAACAGATAGATCCCGTCAAAATATTGAAAAATTATTTATGCGGTTTTTTTTAATAGCATTACTTACAATAATGATTTTAACAATATTTAAACGATTTTATTTTTAACCTTGTCAATTAACTGAATTATTAATGAAATATACCTAACCCAATAACCCAATAAAATATCATCAATCAATACTTTTATTAACCTGAGACATCTGTGAGATGTCATTCACACATATTTAGACGTTAAGCGACATCTCATTAATATGTTGATACTGGATTTATTACAAATATAATGTTTAGGGCATCAAACTTCAGGTTCTTATGTTGTCAGAAAGACCCCAGTCTTATGGTTACTGACGGCTGGAATAATATATAATAACAGTTTTTTTATTTATTCCTTACGAAAAAATTTCAATCAGGCGGTATAATTCTAATCCCATAATCGGAAAGTTCATTATATTTAGAACAAAAACTGTTAAAACGTTTCCAAGGTTAGGGTGAAAGAATTATTAAATTTTTTTTTAAACTATCGAATGCCAGTAGTTTCAAACAAACGTTCTCCTTTTCTGAAACTCTAGATCTAGTAGTGAGGTGACTTGATGAAACATACCATATATTAGGTAAAAACTTATTATCAGTGGGAAACTCCATTAACACGTACCCTAAAATATTGATAAGAAATTTTTGTACCGAGCATATAATTCAGCTTTGTGATACACGGTGTCATACCATTCCGAAATTGAAAATTATCTGTTTACCTCCGGGAAATAAATTAACACAGTGCTAATGTCGGAAGTGGGTTGTGATGAATTAATCACAAAACACACACGGGCTTGTCTGTTGTACATGATTAACAAGAGGCGATAACTCAGTGAAACGGTCTTCCAAAACTACGTCTGGCGCTTTGCGTTCTGAGTTATAAATGTAAAACCGTGTTGTTGATGTCGAGCGATAAGGCGGAATAGATTTAAATGTATGTCGTGTGGTAAACACTGGAGATTTTATTCCCGGTAGAAACTCTAAAAAAGATGATTCTATGGCGTTTGATGAACTCTAAGCCTTTTTCTCTTACTTTTTCAGATCCTCCGGAGATAACTGTGGAGCGTCCTGTGGTGTATTCTGGAGAGGGGTTAGAAGCCCAACTGGTATGCCTCGTTCACGGAGAGAGTCAGCCTGAAGTAAGTTACTGGACATTATTTTTAATGCTAATTATTTATTTTATTATTACTAGAAGTAGGGTTATTCTTCGAGTGCCTTGAATGCTTAGTGATCGTCGACTATCATAATTTACTTTTTACAAAACTTCTTGATTCCTTCTGCGTCGGTTTTTGTTGAGTCGAGCTTGCTGACGTTTCTCCTATTGACTTCTTCAGAGCTTGACTGAAACTGGCTCGCATTTTACTCTGTACCTGCTTATATATTGCTTGAGGGGGCCGGAGCTAAATGAGTTGCATAAACACCGTCTCGAATGACTGATTCCCATGTTCGTGACAGGTAGAGACCTGAGTCGCGGTTAATATTGTTAGGTTGTTTATAGATTTCTATAGACTGTCGGATTTTTCGTAGGTAGAAGAATTATTAAATGCAAGAATTTTAGTTTCATCAACTAAAATTTTATGTCCGGTTTCGTGATTGTGTTCGGCAACATTTAATGAGTTTATTTGTCTTAGTCGTAAGGCTCTTTTGTGTTCTTTGAGCCTGGTTGATATTTTTCCTCCGCTTTCTCCAATGTATTCTTCTAAAGTTCGACTCAGCAAAAACCGACTCAGGGGAATTCAGAAGTTTTGTAAAAAGTATAACACTAGCCTGTGGAAGTTTCTTTGAAAAATTATCATAATTTACATTTGGTTAGTCAGGAAAGCGTGTTAGAAACAAGCTCGAACTAATAATCATAGCAATGGAAGCCAAACTTGTTTGAAATAGCATCCACACTGTATCTTAAATAATATAAGACCTGTATAACTCGGCTTGGCTAGATCAGAGCTTTATTGTTAATTTGATGATTAATGTTCCTATTTTATTTTTCAGAATTATGGTAATCCTTTTTATACATAATATTATACAAATTTTTATTCATAAAACCAACTCTCAAATTTATCGCAAAAGAATTGAGATATTTTTTTACGACGATAAAAACGTTTGCCAAAACGCTAGCACTAATTCCACTCGAAAAATTGTAGCTTATTTTGAAAAAAGAATGATATATTTTCGAGTAGAACAGGGACCAAACAAGATTTTATAATGTCTGCCTGAACAGCGACAAAGTGGGCCGACAAAGTGAATTAGCTTAATTAAAAAGTTGCTCTAAATTTTTAGCTTGATAAAGGCGTTCCGCTGAAAAATACGGAGGGCGTAAATTCGGAACTCGACTGATTAGGCCAAACGAGACTGTCGGAACATAATTACGATTGTGTGACGGCCTGTATAAAATTATAGCGCAGATCGCGCTGATTTTTTTCTTTTAAAAATAATCAATACGTTCTTACAAAAGAGCGTTTGAACCGTGATAAAAAATTTCAAACAAATAATTATATTATTTATGCATGGTGTTTTTCCGGAACACTATAATTATCGAAAAATTGAAAATTTGGGATTGACGATGAATCTCCGAGGACTTTTAAAATGAAAAAATGTATCTATCTATGCTATCTTCGACACAGAATCACACTCAAAAATTTGAAAAACTAAGGTCAATACTAATGAAACTACTACCTACCTACTGTGGAAAATGTATCATCGCGAAAACTGTCCGAGACGCAAAGGACAGTTCTTTCGAACTGAGTCCTTGCCTCACGTATTATCCTTAAATAGGAAATCATTTCAAATGTCGAATCCATGCTAAACAAACGGTATCTCATACAGCCAATGAAATTCGATTGAAAGTCCAAAAATCCTTCAAAAATCCAAACTTCTTAAATCTAATCTTCTAAAGCCTGAACGCATTGCTTTAAAATCTCTAAAATCTAATCCCGACAACGTAATTCTAAAAGCAGATAAAGGAAATACTATGGTGGTCTTGAGCACAACTGACTATCAACAAAAAAAATCAAGATACAGGCGAATCATGTAGTCAACTTAAAAAAGATGCTGTTATTAAGGCTTCGTCTCTATCACAATCCGTGAAAAAGTCTGTCGCCTCCAATTATTACAAAATTCCTCGTCTCTAACATTCACAAACCAGGATTATCCCTTCGACCTGTTGTCAACTCCATTGGTTCTCCAACATATTCTCTACCCTCTATATTAAAACCCTTTACAGGGAAAACTGATACTTTTGTATTTAATTACTTTCATCTCATTGAGCCATTATATTAGATCGAAACGATATTCTGATTTGTTTCGACGTACTTACTAAAGTCCATATAACTGGAAGTCCGAGAATCTGGAGCCAAAATTAATTGAAAACTGCTGGTCTGGAATATACGATCCAAATTTATGTACAGATGCCAGGAAGAGCTATGGGTTCTCCATTATCACCATAAATATATCGAGAAGAAAGCCCATTGTTAAATATTCTTATCAATAGAACATCAGAATTAACATTACGAATATAAACTTGGTGTGATGCTTATTTTTGTAAACCATTGTAAATACGATACTAATAAAATAGGCTTTGTCGTCATTTTTCAAATGAGAAAGAAAGAAAGAATATAATGATTATCTATCTAGTTTTTATTCGGTTTAAAATAAAAAAGCCTTTCCTTTTTACAAATATCTTACCGGGGCATATACGCTATTTTCAGTGTAGGTGAATCGATAACAGTAGGCAAATAAATTGACCCAAATCGGAGTGGTACCTGCATTCGATAAAGCGACCGAATTTTGCAATGAAATCGATGCCAAACAATGAAAATTGCGTGGGTTACTCTGCAATTCTTTTTCGAACTTGATAAAGTTTTATTACCCACGTGTTTCTAAAATGCATGCCTGAGCAAAATTGTGCCAATTTTCTTATTTTAAATGTTGCCCTACATAATATTGCCTTTGTCAACTTGGAGATATTGAAATTAAATATTTTCTGTCAAATTTGCTTACTAAAGATTATCTGTAAGTTTTTCCCAGATTGTTTGATTGTTTAGTTACATTTATTTGTAGAAAAATGTCTGTCTACCAAACGTAATTATAAATTTCAATAATTATTAATATCGTATTATTATTAAGGTGTCAGCTTTGTTAAAGACTCTCGGAAGTCACGTCGGACACTGACGTTTGACGTTTGTCAGTTCTGATGGTCACTTTACACGTCATTCACGGATTAGTGCTGATTTGCAAAAATGTACCCAAAAACTGCGGGTCATAGAAAAAGTATAGCAACACGTTTAGATCACAGTATTAAAAATTGGGGTAACTATCTATTAAATTGTATATTTCTTATTTTTAGAGTTTTTGAAATATTATCTTTAAACATTTTCCTTTGGAAATAAACTTCATGACATTTAAGAGAGAAAGGAAAATCGCCAACGGTCATCATATTGTGAGTAACTGGAATATTGTTCTCCAATTCTTCCTGGTTTATTATTTTCCATAGTCGACGAAATATTCGATTTAAAAATGAACTAAAAAATTTCCCAACATCGAAATGTCAAGGAAATTCTATAGAAAATATTTATCGACAGCGGGACATGGATTTAGGACTTGTACTCTTTAGAAGGTTCAAAAAAACACAGCGTTATCTATCTAAATTTCAGGGTTTTCAGGACAAATATAAACCCGTTGTGGATAACAATGTCGTTTTTTTTTTTAATTTAAAAGTTTGCGTTCTTTGATCCTTTAAATTTAGCTTGATAATATTTTGAAACTGTTATTGGGAAACAGCTTAAACATTATAAACATATTATTTTCTAGTAAATAATAAATATGTGCAACATAATTAGCGAAAGACCCATTTTGTCACTCGTTCATCACCTTGTAAATAATAATAAATTGTATCCTCTATTTGTTATAGTATTAATTTCCAGACCAATTACGTAGATATAGTATATTGTTCGCAAACAGAAATTTATATTTTATTTACTTTGTAGTTCGCTTTCATAAAAAAAAAACGCGCCGAACTAGAATCCGTTCCCTAGTTTTATTTACTCGACGAAGCCTAAAACGCGGCTTGAAACCGGGAATTTCTCAGCCGTCGTTTTGTTTGTTCCCGTTTTTCGAAACGACGACGATGCAGTCTTTAATGCGAAGTACTTTTGTCACTTCGACTGGAAAATCGAAATTGAAACAGTAAATTAGTCACGGCGCTTCTTTGAGTACAGTTTCGTCCTCGAATAAGGCCCGAACACGGACCGAAAACAATGAGGTTTTATTAAAACTTATACCTTTCGAACGACTTTAATCAAACGCATTTTTCTTTTCCTCAGTGACGACGCTCAATGATAATGGTAATAGATTTAACGCAGTCACGCAGCAAAAATTCATATTATTATTCAAAATTGGTCTTGCGAAATAATTTTATATACAAATATTAGTTTGATTAGTTAGTTAATAATGACAAAAGAGAGGTATAACGATAAAAACTTCGCATTTCGCATTATTTACAACAATCCTTAAGAGATACAGCAAAATATTCTTTGCCAGTTTAACTTTCCTATTAAGGGCAGAACTAAGGAGCCCGCCGTGCCCAAAAAGGGCGGTCTTGGCTTAAATGGCAGTAGATTTCGGTCGTTTGCCGTCTTTTCAAGCTTTGTATTGACCTCGCCCAGACAGACGCGTGCCATTCGTCAAGCTCCGCCTTCAAGGCGTTCTTTGGTTCAGACTCGGCCTTTTTGGGTGCACTTATGAGACTAGTCAACGTACTTAATGTGGGACTGTCGAAAAATTTGATTTTGTTTAAATCCAACCCAAAGTCCCATTAAATTTTGATCACGCTATTTGCGTTCGTGGTGTATTTGTGGAATGCGTTCAATGGAACGACATCTTCGTATTACCAGTAGTAGAAAACAATTTATTCATGATTTCTACACATAATGGCCATCGAACTCGTTGATATCAACAAAGTTCGCAGAATAAATATAAGTTCCATTTTACTTTTTTACTCTTCACAGAACTCCGCTGGAGGCTATAGGAAATGTTCAGTATCAGTATCAGTATTAGTAGAAAAACAATATTTTCTACTCCCTTTTCTAAAATACCCAAATAGACATTGATCAGGCGTGGGAAACGTATTACTTTAAGACGTCAACTTCATTAAACACCGTCGCTAGACACTTCGTACTTTACAGTATATTAGATATGAGTTTGGGAACTATCGGGTGTTTTCGACGTTTGGTAATTTTGAGGGTGAAGTCACACATTTCTCGGTTATGTGTCACATGTATTCCTGTCTTAGTGTAAGTCACGCGTCTATTAAGCACCCTCTCCGCTGCGCTCCGCTCGTATAGTTCGCCAAACGATATACCGTTTTTACGACTTAATCCGGTATTTAACTTTAGTAATTTTTTTTGTCTAACCGCAGGCCTACCTAGCTTGAGTTTCTCTTTGCAATCATCAATAAATAGATTCGCAATTCCACAATGACGTTGCAGTACTTCGTGCATACAAATGCTGAAAACTGACGGATTTGTGTAGAGTTTCGTAGGTGAGATTCCTCGATTATTGTTAGTCCATGCATTAATTCGGGCACTAGTCGATTTCTGTAAACACTTTCTTCTTCGATGACCTGTTCTACACATTTTTTCCAACCAGAAGCAGATATTTTTTCTACTTTTCTTCTAATTAATTCTATTGCCACAGAACTAAATTTCGACGAGTTGTTGTTTCTTCTGAAATTGGGTTTCAGCTGCCCCCATATCAGTTCTATCTTATTAAAATTATACTTCCTATCAAACGTTCCCGTCATAAGAACCTCCACTAACTGCCTCTTTGTGTAGGAATTTTCAAAAGACATATCATTTTCAAGCAAAAAATTTTGAATGATTTCTTTAGTCGATTATCAATTCGGTATTTTTTCCGCTTGTGCAAAATGGCAGCTGGCGACAACACTGTTTGCTGGAGTATTGGGACCAAAATTTTTCAGAAAACCATTTTTCTGATATCTGCTGTCATGTTTACGTGGCAGTTAACCTTTGCTTCATTGACATCTTTTGCAGAAAGCAACAAAGCTTTATCTACCCAACCAGCGAAACTGGCACATCCAACGAACATTTCCTAGTGTTACCATCAGTTCATCCTTTCTTGGCGGTATCGTGGCTATCAAACCCGATCTCATCTAAATATATGATGGAGACGTTTTTAGTACGAAATTCTTGAACTTCCATCAAAAATGTCTCTTTGTAATAAAAACCAAATCTTCGTAAGAACGCACGTAAAGTCTCTTGGCAACAGTCAATGTTCAAAACACAACGCAACTCTTCATGTGAAGTTTTAATTGCTAAAACGATGTTCCTCTGAAACGCATCATATATCAACCGCCTCACTATTCCGGCATAGTGCATGTCAAGTAGACTTTTTGAGACCCCACGAACTTTCCGCATTTTTCTTTCTTGGGCACCATTCACAACTGTGGCATACGGTGTTTTAGTCATCGCGGATGTTAATTTTATGGCTCACTTACCCCATGTCAATTTCAGAAACAGAAACACAATTAAAATTATAATTTTGGCAACAACCGGCAAATGTGTCCGAGTCTGACGGATGTTTTAGGAAGATTTATAAAAAGCACACGAATATGAATTAATGTAACAGTTTAATCAAAGAAAATTTCCCTACTCTTAAAATACAACAATCCGCACGGCACAGTTCTTGTCGGCTAACATCGTTATTAAGGCCCTGACTTGTTGTGCACGTGCCGGAAAGAATGCTCCCTTACGCTGTGCAACAGGCGGGTCTTAAACTTATTCCCAAACCAAAACCATAAAAGGTTGCAAAAACGGTATATCGTCGGGTGAACTTTAACAAAACGAACTCATGACTAAAGTGGCCTTTAACTAATTTATTACACTATTAAGATATTTAACGTCTTTGTCGGTAATTAAAGTTTCGGTCGTTTTTACTAGAATCGTCGTACGGCGGTAATGTCGAACTACCGTCCGATAGTTGACAAACAAAACCGGTTTTACAATGGCGTCGTTCAATTTCGGAAATGGGCAGCGGAACAAGTTAAATTATGGCGTTCGGTACGGTAAATACCGCGCACGGCTTTTGTAGCAAATTGCCGTTAAAATTGGTTAATTAAGACCAAGTTTGGAAATCGTTATCGGGCGACACGTTACCCCGAAAGTTTCCCTAAATAAATTATGAGCCCCTATTGATATTCGCTTAGCGTTTTATTTCAAGAAACTTTCGTCTGCGTCACGACCAAACAAATAAAAATTTAATCGCGCTGATAGGTGGACAGATGGATACGTGGCAGATGACAGTGAAAAGATCATCCTTTTGATACGGGCTATCAAACAGATATTCGCAAATTTGCTAGAAAGAAAAATGAAAAGTACACTTAGCCCTACATTTTTTTCGAAAAATGATCACAAATTAAATAAAACATAGTGATAAATAATTTTCCAAACTTAACAACTTAAAGCTAGTTAAATAAGACCGAAATCATTCAATTAATTGAAACGTATGATTATTCGAAAACCAGATAAATAACAGGTGAATCAAAGGGAAAGGAAAATCTATAAACACGAAACGCTGCACACAATTATACTGACAACTTCATACAAGTTGGCTTTGACAGTTTACTCTATTTGAAACTGATTTTATAATTGTAATTACCTTAATAAAATTTAATTCAAAGCAACTGGGTTTGCCAATTAAATACTTATTTAGCAAGAATTCTTTAGAGATGCCGTATTTATACGACCTTTGGTTGATGGCGTGTCCCGGGTCCGGCTCTTTTAAAGCTGACTCGTCGTTAGGCTCCCATCGCATGCATAGTCAGATTGTTCTTTGACTGCCAGTTCCCCCTGTGTCCTCTCTGGTGTGCCAACAATGCCGGCATAGTGTATACCTAAAAATATTGTTATGTAGTGATTAAAATTGTAAGTGTTCTATAAAAGCGAATGTTATTTTTGAGAGATCCTTCCTCTATAGGCCACACACCCGTTCATTACCCTCAATACAATATGACAATCTGACGATCAAACCTTTACCTATACCTAGTTTACAAGACGCACACTTTTTTTACAGTAATTGAAAAATTGCTCGAATTAGAATAATTTTGGCAATTGCAACATGAAAATTGATCTTAATGCAGCTTATACGGGCTAGGTATAGGCAACACCCGTGCAATCACATCGTGTTACTTTATTTGTAAAAATTTTAAATATAAGAACCTTTTTTGTTAGAAAATTTATCCTTGTCCAGTAAGGTGGTCACTAATAAATTGCTCGAGACTAACAAATTTGACGAAGTAGTAAAATGGGGAAAACCATTTAAGAAATAAATAAAACATCCGCTTTGATAGAAATCATTTATTTCTTATTATCAAGATTGTCATGAAATTGAATATCGTTTTCAACTAACGGTCGTTTATCTTGCAATTTTACGGATAATTAGACTTTAATAATAAATCTGAAAATGGATGTTTTTTCCAAAATTCAACTTTGAGTTCTTTTATTCATATTTTGCGTTAATAGGATTAAGATATTGAGATGCGGTTGTCTCTGCTGTTATGATAATGTCAATGGTTGCAAAGTAAATAATTTCTGTCGTCTCCAAAGCCCACTGTAACTATTTAAAAAAAAAATAAAATGCGTTAGGACATTTACTATTAAAAAACTAACTAACCAAAACTACCAGTACCAGTACCAGTAAAATGAAAATAGCAATTGCTCCCCCTAGTGACCATTTCAGGGATTCGAAAATAATATCCAGGATTTTCTCTTGGCCGATTTACTGATTTTTTTTACAATTCAATTTCTAGGAGACTTTAATAATAAATCTTTAAATGGATGTGTTTTCCAAAATTCAACTTTGCGTTCTATTATTCATATTTTGCGTTAATAGGATTAAGATATTGAAATGCGGTTGTCTCTGCTGTTGTGATAATGTCAATGGTTGCAAAGTAAACAGTTTCTGTCGTCTCCAAAGCCCATTGTAACTATTTTAAAAAATTTAAAATGTTTTAGGACATTTACTATTAAAAAACTAACTAACCAAAACTACCAGTACCATGAAAAAATTTGGCAGAGGACGGATTTTAAAAATGAAAATAGCAATTGCTCCCCCTAGTGGCCATTTCAGGGATTCGAAAATAATATCCAGGATTTTCTCTTGGCCGATTTACTGATTTTTTTTGCAATTCAATTTCTAGGAGCGTCCTTTGCCCTAGTACTGTACCTCGTTTATCTATATATAGAAGTGGTGGTGTATATCTATAATTCTATGTACATTACATACTTAACATACTGTACTATTTGTTTTAGGTATTATGGTATAGGGATACAATGCAGCTGGACACTACAGAAAGGAGGATCATGGAGTCGCGTGGTTCCAGACATACTCTTATCATCCGCAGAGTCACTAGGCAAGATTTCGGCAACTACACCTGCGTAGCCGACAACCAGTTAGGGAAAACTAGGAAAAGCATTCAATTGACCGGTAAGAAAAGCTTCCGCACTATTCACCCACTCCCAAGCTAAAGCTAAAAAATTTATTAGCTATAATTTAGCTTTTAATTACAAATTTGTTTAAATTTTTATTTTACTACTAAGCGTCAAATGACGTTAAGTTTTTCATTTAAAAGCTTTGCACATTCCGAAACTATTAAGTGGGAAGTGAAAGTTGGGAAATTTCCTATCAAATTTGCTTTTCATTTTCGTACCTCGAGTTTTGTTTAAAAGTTTGTTGTTTAGACGGGTTTCGTAAAGGTTTAGTGCGAACTGCTTTTCGGTGAAATTTTAATTTGAAAATGCGTTTTCACTTTTGCTAATTATTTTCTTAATGGTGGCTGGCTCTATAGGGAAGTAGGAAGTTAAGAAAACTATTTCCACCACCACTCAAGTCATTCTGAGCAGTCGTTTTAAAAGTTATTCAAAAATAGATTTAGATTTATAATTTAAGAACGTGCTTAAACAGAATGGTGTGAATTCAAATGTCAAAAATAGTAAGGTTGCGAATATATAAACTTTGTTAACTAAGATAAATTTTAGCTTCAGTTTTGTATTGGACATTACCATGGCTAAAATATTTGCAGAAAAATTTAAACCGTTTCAATGTCTATAAAGTTTTTCAAAATAAATAAGAACTAAAAGTTCAGATTTTCACGAAATTATATATTTTGACATGACAATTGTTTCGACATCACCGTGTCTTTATCAAATGTAATATTTACAAACTACCTGCTACTATATATACCGAAAAATGACCATAAAACATTAATTAATGTTGTTGCGAGAATTTAAGTTCAATAAAGGAGAGGTATTTAAATCTAATTGATCGTTAAGCAATACATTTGAATGTCTCATTTTGTTAATCTCCATGGCTTTCAATAAATTTAATTTCAACTTTTTGTGGCTGTATGTAATATATCAAAATTGTCGTCAAGAATGTGTTTTTCTGTGTTTAAGTGTATAGCATAATTAGAATCTAGATTATTGTTTTTAAACGCTCTTATATGTTCGTTAATGCGTTTCTTAAAGGATCTACCGGTTTGTCCAATATAAATTTTAGGACTAGTTCCACACGAACAATTTAAAACAATTACATACATAGGAGAACCTAGTGAAAAAGTTTCAAAACATTTGTCAAAATGTGGTTTAAAAATAGTTTTCAGAACTAACAACACGATAGGCAAATATTTAAAAAAACAATAAATCGAAATGTCCAAAATCCCAAAAATCAGGTGTCTACAGGTTGAAATGTGGATCTTGTCCTAAAATTTATATTGGACAAACAGGTAGATCCTTCAAGAAACCCATTAACGAACATAGAAGAGCATTTAAAAAGAATAGTCTAGTTCTAATTATGCTACACACTTAAACACGGAAAAACAAATTTTTGACGACAATTTTGATATATTACATACAGCCCCAAAAAGTAGAAAATTAAATTTATTGGAAGCCATGGAGATTAACAAAATGAGACATACAAATGTATTACTTAAATACGTCTCCTTTATTGAACTTAAATTCTCGCAACAACATTAATTACGGTTTTATTGCCATTTTTCGTTATATATAGTAGCAGGTAATTTGTAAATATTACATTTCATAAAGACACGGTGTTGTCGAAACAATTGTCACGTCAAAATATATAATTTCCTGAAAATCTGAACTTATAGTTCTTATTTATTCTGGTAAATGGATTTTCATCAAGTAAAAGCCTCCTCAGTTCAAGTTTTATAAAGTTTTAATTTGGTTTCATTTAAGTATCAATATTATATTAAATTTCTTTCCAAAAAGAATTTATCTACTTTTTGATACCTATATCTTAAGAGGTTAGCAGAATTCCAGTTTGGACCAAAATTCCTTAAACCTTTTACCTTATTTTTTTCCGATACGGGCCATGTCTTATAATTTACATAAGGTAAACCCATAATCTTAAAGAACTGAATATTCTGTTTATTTTATCCTTAAGTCCAGAGTCACCGGCACTGTTAGAAGAAGTTCAAGAGGTGCCTTAGAAATAGACTCATGAAATGCCAGTTTTAGAAATAAATTATCTCTAAAAAGGACCCGAGCCAAGTAAAACTCATTAATGAAAATCTCAACACACATCACAAATTTTGTTCTAATTCGTAATTTTATACGGGTTTTAAGTTGGGAATTGTTATTTACAATTCTGATTCCTTATCTTATATATCTTAAAAGAAAGCACTTAAGATACACAACAAATAAAAACAAATAATTTACAAATCTTATGTTGCGCCTGTTAGCTAGTTTAAAAAAAGATTATACCGAACCTGCATTCACTATTGGCAAGTAGTAAGTAGCTTATATTACTCAAAAACGAATTTATTCCAATATACATTTAATTTTCATAATTCCATTCCATTTTTTAATTTTTGAGGTTAATCTGATCCGCTGTGCACCATCTTTTTTATAATAGGCAAGCCTTTGCCCGCTAAATTCAGCAGCGCCATGAAGGGTAGATGGAGAGAGAGCTACAACATCAGCTGGGAGGTGGAATCTCTCAGCCCCATCGAAGAATATAAGCTTCTATTTCGCAGACTTCCCGATCCGACAGGTTCTTCAGACGATAGCCAACCCCAACCGCTACACCATCAGAGCCAGAAAAAGCTTTTCTTGGGGAAAGTAAGTATTATTTATATGTTTATAAGTTTTCCAAAACCTTATAGCTCTCTTATTTTTATTGCTGGCGGTAAATATTTACAGTATTAAAGTTCTCTCTTTCCTTATATTATTTAAGTGGCTTTGAACAGGCAATTCGAAACACCAGATAAAAATAAAGCAATGTACTTGGTATAGGGGAACATTTAAATGTGATATCGTTCCGCTAAATCCAAGCAAATAAACTAAAAATCTGTTTTATATACGCAAACGTGCAGTTATTATGCTAAAACTAGGGGGAAAAATATAAAAATAGATTTTCGACATCGTAAAAATGTTTCTTGGGATACTGTATACGCTCGTTATTACGTCATAACTCGCAATTTTCGGTTTATGCACTGACTCAGATCTTAGCTTCGCGATAAGCTCCTTTGATGCTGTTAGAAATGTAACCTTTTATGTTTCGGAAGTAAGTAAGATTTATTATGGGGAAAATTAAGTTGTCTGGCTTCGGAAACTTACAAAAGCGAAACAGCGAGCTAAAGAGTAGGTGCGCGGGACCGTACAAAAGCTACTTTTGCAGTTCGCCATCTAAGACGTACCCGCGAATCTGAAAAGCCGGTAATTGCGTGTTTGACTAGTCTGGATACGAGGTGCTGCATGCTTTTTTTTACCCAAATATTTTTCAATTGTTGTTATTTTGTTGTGCGAACTTAAGAAAGTAGCAATAAATGTAGGTGGTGGGTGTTTCTTTCTTCTATCTATTTAGCTCGGTTCCAGCTATCTTTAGACATAGGCCTCCGCCAACCTTCTCCACTCATCTGCCTATCTTATTTCAGGCCTGGCTCTATTTCTTTTATTTTATCGATACTTTTGTTCCATCTGTCGTCTTTTTGACATTGCCACCTCCTCAATAACGTCGCTTACATTCATTTTATTTATTATCCACTCATTTGTTTCTGTATCACCTTTTTTCACTTTGTACTGTCACTACTTTTTCAATGTTTAATTTTGTAAATGTCCATGTTTGGGATCCGTACATTAAGACATGAAATAGGCACTGAAGCTTAGTGTAAGCGAAATGCTGCCCATGGTAGTCCATTTCATCAGTTGATTTCTACTGTTTGGTTTCCTTTGTTATGTTTAATAATTTGTTATGTTTAACATTTCTTTCTCGACTCTGGTTTTCACCTGTGGTGGTTATGATTTTACTTTTGGTGTAGTTCATATTGTAACCTATATTTTTACTCACTGTCCAGTTGTTTCAGCGTTTAGTGCAGTTCTTTTTTTTTATAAGTTTATCAGTTCAAGTTCTGCCCAAATATTGTAATACATTTTTTTCCAGTTCAGTTTTTCAAAAACATCCGCTAGAGCCTCGTTAAAAGGTAAAAGCGATATTGCGCCTCCCTGTCGGACACCCTTTCTTTTATGTACTTATTCAGTTCCCTTTTTAACTATTCTTATGGTTTCTCATTATATGTACTGTAAATACTAACTAATCACTTATACTGATTCCCTTTCCGAAACTTGCTTGCTCGTTCAATTAGTATTCGCCGAATTTTCTTGTTAACTTTGTTGTTAATATATTTGTGCGGAACTTATAAACTACATTCAGTAGTATTATGTATAGTTTTTAGATCTGCTCTATCGCTCTTCTTATGCTGAGGATGATGATGTAGATGATGAATAGGGAGTTTTTAGGAGTACATTTTATCTACTGTTTTTTGTATTTTAACATTTCTGTCGGTATTCCGTCTCTTGCAACAGCTGTGTTATATTTCAATTACAACACAACAAATTTCTAGCTAGCATTTTAATAACAAAAAATATATTAAACAATTTCACATCTTTAAAATAAAATCATAATAATTCAGGACTCTTTGCATCTAATATTTAATTTTTCAACTAAGGCATACTACGTAACTCATACTTATACTGCTCATCAGAATTTCTAAAAAAAATAGAAATTAGGATGCATTAACACTATAGTAGGTTAAAAGAAAAGAGAAACATCTCTGTTTTACCTAATTAACAGTATATATAGAATATTAATTATTATTTTACTAACGACGAGGTGAACACTGCTATAAAAAGCCTTAAATTAAGGAAAGCAGCTGGCGTCGACAACATTTTCCCTGAATTTATTAAACACCTAGGCCCAAAAGCAAGAACATGGATTAAAGACTTCTTTAACGACATACTGAATACAGCACGGCTTCCAAATGAATTTAAAATGTCTCACACTCTCGCTATCCTCAAACCGGGAAAAAGTCCTGAAAACCCAGCAAACTACCGCCCTATAGCCTTGCTGTGCATCTGTTATAAACTATTGGAACGGATGATCTACAACAGAATATGCCCTATCATAAATGAACATCTACCGCATGAGCAAGCAGGATTCAGACCAAACCGTAGTTGCTGCGAACAAGTACTGGCCCTCACCTCTTACATAGAAGCAGGGTTTCAGAAAGGCCTAAAAACATCAGTGGCCTTTGTCGATCTCAGCGCAGCATACGACACAGTGTGGATAGATGGGCTGATCCTGAAACTCTGGAAAGAATGCTGAAAGGTCGCTATTTCAAGGTCACTTTAGGCACATCAAGTAGCAAATCAAGAAACATTAAAAACGGTCTCCCTCAAGGCTCAGTACTGGCTCCACTACTTTTTAATGTTTACATAAGTGACACCCCAAATACTACGTCACGTAAGTTTTGTTACGCAGACGACATCGCTATAGCCACTCAAAATAAACACCTTGAAGAAGGAAAAACAACCATAACAGCCGACTTAGAAACCTTAAACCAATACTTCCAAAAATGGAGACTGCGCCCGAACCCAAATAAAACAGAGACATGTGCCTTCCACTTAAATAACAGGATGGCGCACAGAGAACTAAATGTCACGTTTTGTGGAGAACCAGTCAAACACAACAAACACCCCAAAGATCTAGGCGTAGTCCTCGATAGGTCTCTCACCTTTAAAAAGCACCTTGAATTGACATGCCAGAAACTTAAAACCCGAAACAACATCATACGTAAATTGGCAGGCACCACATGGGGAGCAAATGCAGCTACCTTACGCACTGCAACACAATCGCTTGTGTACTCTGTAGCGGAGTATTGCGCTCCTGTATGGGGCAGAAGCTCTCATGTAAATAAGATTGACACCCAACTTAATGAAGCCATGAGAGTAGTAACAGGGCTGAAGTCGACTCCTTTACCATGGCTCCACGTACTATCAAATATCGCTCCCCCAGGAATCCGAAGACAACAGGCTACATTCCAAGAATGGCAAAAGATAAATCACCCAGACCAGCCAAGAACGTGGCCTATTCACAAGGTAATAGATGAACCCTGTGTGAATCGACTGAAATCAAGGGCCCCAATATGGAACTTGGAAACACTTGCTCCAGGAAAAACCTACGACGCTTCTGAATCATGGACATCCGTATGAAATAACAGCAATGTCAATCAACACAACATAGAAGATCCTAATAAACAGCTCCCTGGGATGCAACTACCTCGTAAAACATGGTCCCTATTAAATAGAGTTAGAACTGGACATGCAAAAACGAGATCAGCGATGCACAAATGGGGAATTGCCGACAATCCAGCATGTGACTGTGGAGGTGAAGAGCAAACATTAACACATATAGTCCCAGACTGCCCACTGAGAAGATTTACTGGACAATGGAAAGACTTTACTGATGCAAGCCCCGCTGCCATTGCATGGTTATCTGAACTGGATTTAGACCTGTAGATTTGATTTTCCCATACCGCTAGGTTGCTCGCATGCACCTATTATATGTACTGTCTGTGTCATATTTAATGTGTATTACTGTGTTTTACATTACTTGTATTAATTGTCATTTATACCTACCTTTCATAAGAATTTTGTTTGTAACCTATTACATAGCACTTGTAGAGCCATACGCTCGTGCCTAAAGCAACTTGTGACTGAAGTGGATAATATATTATTTTTGGAAATTTAGACTGCAATTACTTATTTTCACACTTATTTATTATTATATTATTTCATGTTTAGGGCAATGGAATTTTTTATATAATTTGCCATAAAGAAAAAAAAGGTTTTAGAGTTGTTTGAAGTGTTAATGTTGATGTTAATGGTCAGCATTAATGCTGACCGCATTGGTAAAAAGAAATGTAAGTATTTTTCACTGGCGATAACCAACTATCTTAGCGAATAATGGTTATTTCAGAATCAACTACGAAATAATGATATTATAAATTATTTCACATTAAATTTTTATTTCTCATCTCAATCGGTTAAGAAATCTTTTTGAAAAAAAAGATTTTTTTGGGAGCCATTTTCTGAAGAAGGCATTTTTAAATACATATTTATTAATCAAACTAAGAGTAATTTTTAATATGTACCCTACAAATTAGCGAAAAGTTTTATAAAACACCCTGTATAAAATAATATAATTTCGAATTGCATTCATCACTTGTCAAATGTCAAAGGCGTAGCTCTTTCAGATTCGAAAACTTGAACTGACATAAAAACACTCCGTGGCACTCCACTACGCAGACAGATTAAGCGCCACTTTTCTCTTCTACAGGATAACAAAACATATTCGGCAATCGGATACGGCTACAACAGGCCAACGAAAGATCGTCGACTCGATTGGCGAGATGTTATTTTGCCGGCAATACCCGCACAACCGGCAGGCGTTCAATCTATGAGCTACGTTATCAGAGGATTGGAACCCGGTCAGCAATACGAAGCCAGAGTTCAGGCGCGGAACAAATTTGGATGGGGGCCTGTGTCCGACGCTTTCAATTTTCAGACAACCGAGACCGGTAAGCGCCTACTTATATTCGATTCTGATTCTATTAGCTAGCACTAATTATGACTCACTTCATCAATCGTGCTAAGCAATCGTGATGTTCTCTTTCTCCCATTTTAATCAAAAACTAAACTTGTGGTTAGACTACTGACTGCCAACCTAACGATAGGGTTGGTTAATAGCAATAGACTCGTCGAGCTTTTTGAAAATGGTCTTCTAAAAGATTTTACTGATTTTAAGCGCGTCTAAGTGTCTAAGTAAATTGTTCCATTTTTGGTTTTGATCCTTCCATGGTTTTACAGAAAATGAGAGTGAGAGAGATTGAATAATCTAAGTTTCTTTAATGTAACTATCAAAAACAAAAAGCTACTCACAATTTGGCGTATCTGTTTGACTCGTCAATTTGTCTTTAATGATCACAATATATGTTGGCACTATTATCATCGAAATTGAGCTTTTACTTTAGCATTCCAAAATTCAAAAAAAGAAGAAGGCAGAAATGGCAAATTTACTTACCTGTTACAAATCCCACCACTCTAAAGAGGACATTTTAGATTAGGAAGCATGTTCGGATTTAGTATCGAACCCTAACCAAGACAAGAAAGGACACCCAGGTTTTCCCACCCAATTCCAATGCGATACAGCCTGCACGTTTATCAACACCACCAAGAATGGTCCTTCTTATCTTTGTTATCGTCCGATAGTCTCAGTTAGAATCACTGCTTTTTATATCTTATGCCTTCTTCTCCACCGCTATTTTCTCACCTAGATTTAGATTTCCTTTCCGCCCAGGAGCTTGTGATGACTTTAACTATAACATTTTAATAAACATATACGGTATGACCGAAGTCAACTGTGACAAATTTTATTAAAACTTCTTTTAGGAAGGAGCGTCACGAGCCCCTGACTTTGGAATTTTATAATTTTCTGTGAATTCAGCAATAGTTTGTGTGCATTTATTAACCCAGTCCAATTTCTTTCATGCACCTGCTTTCCGCAAATGCACCGATTTGGTTATGTTACACTGCGTGTTGGAATAATCAGACGATATGGCGACCGAAAAAAGACTCCTGTTTAACGGTAAGGACGTTTGCCGTTTACAGTATATATATCTAAACGAGCCTGAATTGCTGGCTCCGCATATTAAAAAAAAATATATCACGGAAAATCTGTGTCAATGTAATTGTTTAATTCACAAATTAAAACAAATACCAAAATGTCAAAACCTGCTCGAAATCTCGTATATGATAGGATGAATTTTTTAGGCAATTAGTAGAATGAGAACAATTTGACTTATCGGTAAATCGTAACAATCGTACAAGTTATGTATCTATATCATCTTATATACATTTTTATATGCCTGGAGCAAATATCTTTGTAAATTTCGAACGATGTCGATATTTAAATATGGCAACTGTATTAACGTTCGCTTGAAATATGGTTATATGTATAAATTGATAAGGATTTAAAAAATGCTCCTGTAAAACTTTATGACCTTATTACTCTCTTATCCTAAAAGTTCGAACGAATTTTTCTTCTTAAAAGGGACTGCTAAATACTGACAAAAATGTTAAAAAATGCTTACTCCGTTATGTATTTGCGAAAAAGTAAATTTTAGATTGAAGAATATTATTCCGTATCTCCATCGAGTCTTTATGGACCGTAAAGCAATAAATGCAGAACGTGTAAGACCCACTTAAATATTCGGATGCAGCGTTCCCAAGTCTGCCAGATAACTGTAATCGATCTGAGCGCACCAAACTAGCAACTCCCGAATCTTAAACAATACAATGTGTTTATGGCTCTGTGTAAATCTGTGCGACCGGCTTCCATTACTTCCGCGCTGAAATCGCGATTTTTACAACGTAAGAAGTCTAGGAATAAAGACGCCATGCAACCGGTTTTAGAGATAAAGCGAACCAGATAGAACTTGTGTTTATAAAAGGATCGTTCTAGAAAATGTGTTTGGTGGGCAAATAGAACTGTTCTCCTTTTGTATTGCAGGATAGCGTTTGTTTCACTTATTTATTGAAATTACTTTACAGGGGCTTAAGCTGCCATTCAGATTGTAACTGGGTCTTGGTATAACTATTTACATACAATTTGTTGCAACCAGTGACTGTGTCTAGGTTTCGAAACATTCTACCCTTTTATTGCAGAGGGCAGTTTTACAAGCAGTTGAGAAATAGTATATTATGCAACATGCAGTGCGGTGAACGGCATTTGACTCACGAGTTTATTTGACACGTGCGGAGCGAATGCTTAATAAACGAGTGACTTAAAAAGTTTACCGAACGTGTTCCATATTATTCTTTTTCTACGACAGTTAGTTTTAAAATACATTTTCGCGAAACAACACGAATACATTCACTGACATGACCGTCAGAATTGACAAACGTCAAAATTCAAGGCGTGGGTAATATCTCCGAAAACATCCGATTGCTCCCAAACCCGAACGATAATATCCCGAAAATGTCCGAAGTGGCTCGGATCCGTGGGAAACAAAACTGACGTGGTAAAGTGACGCTTCCCGCAAGCCAGATCGGTGTGTAATTACGCATTTTACAGACGGGAGTAGAAAAATATATTCATCTCTACAAGAACATTCACGTTTTTTAAACACCTATCAACCTTAAAAGTAATTTTGAGAAATTTACAAGCAAATTGGATCACTATTCAATCTTGACATCATAGAATTAATCGACATATTTCGTTTTTCCAAATTAGTACACTGCAGTTGCACACATTTTTTTATTGCAATTGCAATTCAGTTTTGGGTTTTGCATATACAGGGTGCTTCAAAATAAGATACCTATACCTAATTCCTTGAATCATTTTAAGAAAAAAAAAATATCATTATATAAATTTTCCTCATTTTCATTGAAACAGTTAAACAGATATTTTGTTGACTAATTGGTGGAACCCTAGAAGTAATTTCTCTTTAGCATAAATCATTATTAACATATAAATAATAAATTATATATTAATATTTCCAACGAAAAAAATAACAAGCATTTTTTCATTTCAAATGGCGCATGAAATTGAAAGCAACCAGCTTTTTTTTAAGTTAATTGTGAAAATATCAGATACTCTCCAGAAAATTTTCGAGACTCAATGAGAATAAGAGCTGAAGAAGAGCTATTGTCTCTTATTTTTGTTTGCGTTGTTTAATGCTAGTTTATTTTAATTTAAAATTTAATTTTAATAATTATTGATCATTTTATTTAATTTTCTCTGGAAATCCTTTGTCGAATCACACACTGATGAAAGTAAAGAAATAGTTTTCACTCGAAAAAAAGTATTTCTGTGCATTACGAGGTCCCACCAAATTTTAACAAAATATCTAAAGTAGTTTCATTAAAAATAACTAAAAATGAAAAAAAATTTAATCACTATCAGTATCAGTATCGTATTCTGCATATAATACTACGAATGTTGATTATTTTCTATCTTCTTCCTCCTCTAAAGATTTGTTAATATTAGACAAAGGAATCTTGTATCTACAAACTAACCAAACGCTGCCTCCTAAATCTGCAAAAATCACATGGGTTCCATTCAATTAATCATTAGGTCTAGGAGATTAACCTGAGCAATTAGTTTAAGGTAAAGTGGTAAATTCTGAGTACATATATCGTAGAATGGGAAGTTGGGTAAAAAAGATTTAATATCTCAAAAAGCACTGTTCTTTATTGTTATTGTTGTAGCTGGAGCGGACTGTAATTTAACGCTGTTTCCTTTGTGTTGTTCTGCTATTTTTGATTTTGCCTTAATTGAAATTTCTGAAATAAAACACTGAGTGCTTCTTTAGCGTATCTCTGCAATAGAGTGTTCTTGAAAATCGACCCACAATCATAGAGCATAAAAAAATGTATAAACTAAAGGGGTTTAACTATCCCAAGATATTTTTATATTTCTATAGGTATTTTAATAATTTATTCAAATTTTTAAAATAACAAATAAATGGAACTAAACTGCATTATTATGCAACTGATATATTATACATGCATCTTTACTTGACTTGTAAGACTCTGGAAACTTTACACGTCCTAAATGAAAACAACCTAATAATTACGTTGCCAGATGGTATTATTTCTGTTCTCAACATACATATATACTTTGTAGTTGTAAACCCTTCCATCCAAAACACTATCTCTGACGATTTAGAGTCTTGACAAAATACATACAAAACTAAGTAATTAATAAACACCCTAACAAATCTCAATACCAACAAATGGATAATTGGGATAAAAATCAATTATGGTTATAATATAAACACAATACATTTGGTCAGTTCGCAAATACACTTATTTCAAGAGCGCTGAACCATTCTAATAGCCCCTATTTTCTGTTACAGAACGCACAATGGACGACGTCCTCAGCATAAGATCGTACAATAGGGGCGCTAACACTGTTGTAAGTTATTTGGCCATTTACCTAGCTTCGTGTGCTGCACGTTTCGTTTCGCTGTTTTTATGTCTCCATAGATAAACTGTTTAAAAGCAAACCTTAAACAATTCTCGTCTCTCTTAAGGTGTAATGAAATTTTAAATTATGACGTAATATGTGGCTGAATTGTTGTAAATATCCTGTGTAAATAATATAACATAATGAAATATATACTAATGATATACATGGGCGCATTCCACCACTTATTTTTTGTAAATAAATCAAAATATTCTAGTAAACATATAATATTGAAATGTCTGTGGTGTTAAAGTAAGATTTCAACAACAAGAAAAAAGAGCGTAACATTGAATTTCCCTTACATTAAGGCTTTTTTATAAATTTATAGGTTATTTTCTCAAAACAAATTTAAGCATGATACATGATATTAATGTGTAGTATTTCTGGAGGGATAGGGGTTTTAGGCGACTTTTTCTTTTTCTTTCAAACGGAACCAATGCTTAAAACCTAAAACCTTTTATTCCGAGACTTTAAATAGGGTGTTATTTATTATTGATTTTGATTTCGATGTGTATACATTATAAAATGAAGCTATAATAAATGGTATTTTTTGGCTGACCAATTGTTTCATTTAATCCATTTGAAATGAAGATCCCTTAATAACTAACCCTCACCGTTGCTTCTTCAGTCTTCTGAGATCGAAACACAAGATCACTTCTGAACAGAAAAGTAAACAACTTAATATGGTAAACAAATGGTATTTCTGAAGTGACATTGTGACTCCCGTGTCATGTCTATTATTACTAGAGTGCTGATTATCGTTGGAATATGGTTTCTTCCATTCTATCTCTCTCTTAAACATATATCCGTCCACGTTGCCTTGAGAGAATAAGGTTTAATTGCAGGTCGGCCCTTATAAGAAAGTGGGGTCCTTTGCTTGGGAAGTTTTCTTAATTTTTTAGTCATAAATGAACTGAACTCCCATGACTTTAATCGTCTGTACGCTAACCAGACGAGATTAATCGTAAATAACATTCTTCAACATTTCGTAGGGGCCACGTGCCCAGACTTCCCTAGAGGATATTTTTTTCTAATTCCCCGTACAACAATGTTTTCTTTTAATTACACATTTCATAAAGTATATCTCCCATGTTCCCGTAAGTCTCCGTGCCTAGCGATACAAATTAAGCGATCGGTCTGCGTAGGAGAGCCGAGCCGCTTATCCGTATCTTGTTTCCCGTCATTAGTCCTTTTCTCTCCTCTGCTTTCTATTCCGTAGATTTATCTCCCTTTAATAATAATAAATATGTCTACGGAACCGACGACATGATAGGGGGAACAGGCAAACATTAGCCTAATAAAATTGGTCAGCGCCTTTTGCCGCCAGTAAACAGCTGACTTGTTTGTTCGATATTAGCTACGGCAAGATTTTGGTTTTGATTGATGGAACTAGCAGCAGGTAGGAGCTAGGGCGGATTTTTAAATCGAAATGAGAGCAAATTTGAGTATGGAAAAATGATTATGACTATGTTATTCATATTCTCATAAATTACGTGTTTTACAAAATCAGAAAATAGAAGACATTGGAAAAAAAATAGAAGAAGAGATGAAGAATAATTTTCAGTAAAGGGTACCATAAAATAGCATAATTTAATTAAGATACGTAAATAATACCATTGAAGTTTCTTTTACATGCCGCTTTTCTTTGTTATTTGTTTATTTAATAAACAGGAAGTAGAAAATCTCGGAGTGAGAAAGCATTTTTAAATCACTATAGTTAAAAATAAAAGTAATCTTCAAAAATTGTAAATAATAAACAATGTTTAAAAAAACAACGTAAATCTTTACACACCGATACAGTTATAAGAAAATATTTTTTTAGGAAAAATTTTTTATGACTTGTAAGACTATAATGCTTTGATCCTTACTTTAAGACCCTATGTCTCTGATTTATCTATTTTGTGGGACTAGAATGGAGCAGATGATAAGATTGATGATAGGTTTGTTCCACCTTCAAATTGCAAACAGAGAAAACAGAATCATTTTACCAACGACTTCATCAGGTTGTTTGTTGCAAATCGATTTATAAAAATTGATTGGAACAAGTGACCTACAAATTAGCATATCTGAGGGTGTAAAATTTGGTGGATCATTTTTACCGAAATGTTTGATACATACATACCTTCTGGTGTCACTTATATTTTATGATTTCTGTGCCTTAATTCCTTAATTGGAGTAATACAATGAATAATTGTGATTTTTTATTCTTGGCTGAACCAATAATAATTCTCACTAGCCCCCCGATGCAAGCGAAAATTCGAAGAATAAACAGGATCAAATCGTTTTTCCTAATTTTATAGTAAAACAAGATGTTTCTTATATAATAAAAATAATTAACATATTTTTATTATTTCTGTGAACGAACTTTAAATAATTCTGATATTGGAAATTGTTACTCCCCATAAATCATGAAAACAAACTGAGGAGTATTCAGAAATATTCACAAATGAACAAAATTAATTTGAAACTCAGACGATAGAAAACGCGGACAAACGAATAACATGCGTGCTTTGGTAAGTAAAATATTCGCAAACACTTAGAACAATTCGCAAACATGTATCAAAAAGGGATGGAACCGAAAACAAACTATTATATGTCAGTGGTGCGATTGCGTACTGGGTATGTTTCTGAATGTAAGAAACTGTTGCTGACTGCGGTTGGAATGAACCTAATACCTGTGGATTCTTACTTGGTACCATGACCACCAGGAAAACAGAATCCAGGTTGATGCTATTTACACTCACTTCAGTAAGGCGTTCAAAAAATAAGTAATAATATTTCGCTTGCTTGACTTTCTGAAGTCGATGTCGGGAGTTCCTTCCTCAAATAGGTTGATTCATATCTGAACAGAAACAGAATTAACCCAAATTCAGGCGTCTCTACAAGAGTTCAAGATATAACTGAGTTTCTAAAGATTCAAACTGACAAGTTGGTGAACTGTGACGAAACTAGTTTGTTTCTAAATTTGCGTAAATGTCCATCAAAAATCTTTACACGCAATAAAATTAATTTCATGTCTCATTCAAAATGTCTCGCTCATGTTCGAACCTCTAAAATGTTAGGTTATGTGTTACTTAGATGCTCGATCTTTTCTACTGACAATTTCGTCGATAATCCGACGTTCACGTAAGTCCTTTTTCAAATATCCAAACAAATAATAGTCGCTGGGGGCCATATCTGGACTATAGCGAGGATGATCTATCCGTTGGAATCCACACTCTAAAAAGGCAGCTTATGGAAGACCAGCAGTATGGACAGGTGCATTATCGTGCAAAAGACGCACGCCTCTGGTCAGTTTTCCTCGACGTTTTACACGTATGCAGTCTCGCAATTGATGTAATAATATTGCGTAATATTTACCATTGACAGTGGTATTAGTTTCTTTAAAATCTATCAAAAGAATTTCTTCACAATCACAAAAGATCGTGGCCATCACCTTTTTTGTTGACTGGCAGACTCTGAATTTTCTTGGAGGTGCTTCACCCTTAGGGCGTCACTCCATTGATTCTTTTTTTCGATAGAAGGTCATAATAGAGAACCATAGTTTCATCTCCCGTCACAATAGTTTCTATGAGAGGCTTCGATTCCGACCCACAGAGTTCCAAAAAAGATCGCGCACACTCGACACATTTTTTTGAATAGCCGAAAGGTTTTTAAGAACCCATCTTGCACTAACCTTATGCATACCTAAATGATCATGCAGGATTCGACGAACACTTGTATCAGAAAGCTTAGTAATTTCTGAGATTTCCTTGACCTTTAGACGTCGATCAGTCAATACCACCTCTTCCACAATAGCAACAATATCTTCCGTTATGACCTCCACTGGTCAACCAGTTCTTGAATCATCTTCAAGGGACTCCTACCCCATTCGAAAACGTTTTGCCCATTCTTTCACTACAGAATACGAAGGAGAACTTTGGCCTTACAAAACTTTATGACAAGCAAAAAAACAAAAAAAAAGAGAAAAACCGCCCTATCCAATCCTATCTGCTGAATCCAAAACTGCAAAAAATACGGGTTGTGCCATTTGAAATTCGAAAGTTACTGTCGTTTACGCTCAAGCCGGAAGTGCAAACATTGACTGCATGTTATCAAAAAATTGGAGACCCAGCCTATATTAACCCTTCCAAATTTCAAATCGCTACCTCAAGCCGTTTAAAGTTATACCGTGTTCCCCCTTTTTTTGTTTCCATTACAACGATATCGAATATAAAATAGTTTATAATAAAAACGTCAAGTTGGAGGAAATGCTACAAATAACTTTGTTTGAGGCCAGGTGAGATATTGGTAGCTGAAATATTCACTAAATTTTTGAAATATAAATATATTGACGGGGACTATCGCAAAGCGGTAAATCGGACGAACTTGGTTGATGTAAATAAGGAAAAATTGTTTGAATTATTCAGAGACAAAAAAGTATATTTTCCGAATTTCGAAAAAGTTAGAAAGAAAGCTAAGAAAATATTGGAATGGGCGGTCATTGAAAGAAAACAAACTAATTACATTTCTCCTTTAACCACACTTAACAAACAAACTTAAGAAAGAGGACGGATCAAGTCGAATTTACTTAGATGCTAGAACACCAAATAAAAAAATGAAAAAAGATTTTATCAATCCGCCGAATATCACTGAGCTGTTAAGCTTAAAAGGGGAGTAATACTTATTACTATCGATCTAACTGCCAAATTGTATTGTTGCGAGGACACGACCAAATATCAGCCGAAACTAATTCAGTAAAAAAGTTATTTCTGTTGAAAGGTAATGGCTGATTTTATGTTAGTAAAAAGGTAGAGCCGAATGCCTACCAAATAAATCCTCCCACAAAGCAACCAAAAACAATTTAAAACCTTATGGGCATGTCCCGGAAATTTGTATTATTTTTTCCGGAATGTATTATATATTTCTCTTAGACGTAGGTGGGGAGTTATGTAGTGGTTTCAAGAAAAAAAGTGTAGTAGCAATAGTGCGGGGAAGTCGACTGAGCTGTGCGTCGAATTTTTAATGCGGATTGTACACGGTAAATTTGTATTAGTGTAAATTCCAAGTGTGGAAATAAATGCTGTTGTCAAAACCGTGTTCTCCCTTGTTTTGGCGAACCTGGGTCCCTGATCCACTTCAATGTCCACTGTATAAGTTAAACAAACTTTAAATAGTCAAAAACCTGAGTAACGTTAATAATATTATGATTATTTATATTAGGAACAACATTCTCTAAATCTACGAAATCTAGACGCTTCACGTTGAAATCAGACCGCACTCTTGTTGTACCCTTGGCAACAAACTTCCGATCTTTTCTTAGAACAGTATAGGTATTTGAAAATAACTCACTACTATTCACACTCGATCTCAACCAGGTTTCAGTTATTGCTATAAAGTCGTAATCAGACGAAGACACCGAAGGGTAAAATTTTAAAACTTTAGTGTTCAACCCCCTTGCGTTTTAGTAGTACAGCATAACATCATATAAGACTTTGTTACAAGCAATATTTCTAACTGTCATTATGGTATCCTATATTTTTGTAGTATTGTGCCTACATTAATGGGCGCA